CTGTGGGGTCTCATCATGGGGTGTGTGGGCGGCTGCATGGTCTCACCATAGGCTGTGCGGGCAGCTGTGGGGTCTCGCCATGGGCTGTGCGGGAGGGGGGAAGAAGGAGGAGGTGGAGATGTGTGGCCAGACCGGTGCTGCAGGCATGGGACCTTACGGCAACCCAGTGTATTAAAAAAGTTGAAGTGCCCGTACCTGTGCTTAGTATCGGGGAATTTACAAATACTTGTGAAAATGCCCAGTATCTGCGCCGAAACCAATACTGGTATCAGTGTCAGTGTATCCCTAATTAGAACCCTACTGCAGATGTAAATTTATGCTGTGTGGATTTTTTTCATTTGGAAATGCTACACTCTATGGCCAAAGGATTATGCACACCTACTACACTGAATTGTCAAAAGCATGCAAACACCCCTACAAATAATTGATTTCAGGTGTTTCCAGTGAAGGGTACTGATGAAATCCAAAAACGCACTGGTTCCTATGTAATCATCCTTGATTGTCCTGACATGTGAGTGCACGCATAAAAGGACCTTTGAGCACAAAACCATACATTCAAGATATCCGATTGAATACATTGACAGTCACCTACCCCGTCCTTACTCAAAGTTGGACTGACTTAATACACCTTGGTTTCAAGGTTGTCACTCTAGTCGTAATAATAAAGATCAATGGATACCTTAACTATCTATATCAAAGACCCAACTATGCTCAAATATAATTGATGTCAATACATACGACAGTGAAGGGAGAATGAAAGTACAATAGGCTTAACCCGATAACCGTCCCCAGAAGCAATCTCCGTTTTTTTGTAAGCCTTCTTTTTGGGTGTTCACACCAAGGACTTTTCGAGGAATTTAGAAATGTGCAAACTAGCTGATCAGTACATAATTCCTGTTGCATAATATTCCCAAATAATCGGCTGTGTGCCCGCAATCATTGTATGCAATTCCAGGTGGATCTAGATAGGTGGATCTGATAACTCGCTGGGCAGTTGCAAACTCCATACATATGAAAGTCAACCATTGGGTGCATTGACATCCCCACTGGTGGGTTCTATGTATGAATGCATATGTATGTTTTGACAACGTTGTCAAAAGGTTTTTAAAACTTCGGGAATCGTGTAGGGATGTGGTGAAGTACTATTTCATGCTATAGTATATATGTTTAAATAAATGAATTTATTATTTTTCTATATATGGTCTGGAAGTAACTTTATTGGTCTGCACATTGAATCATGTTTTGCGACCCGTTCTGCCCTTTTTTCTATACTGATGATTACACCCTGATTCCATCATGTGCAGAGATTTTCTTGCTCTCGGGCAACTAGCACTAGCAGACTAAAGGTGGCCATGCACCTTCCAACTATCGCACGACTTTCGTTGTGCGATGGTTGTAAGGTGATAAAAATTTCGTACAACCTGCCCATCTTGGACAGGCAGATCTTACTTGTGATCATCGCAAGTCCTCCCGGCTGAGGGGAGGGCTTACAGATGATTGCAATGGTGAGCGGGCAGTGTTCACCTGCGTACCTCGGCATGTGTGGCTTTCATCTTGTGATCGCGCTACCAACCCGCCGAAAATCGTATGATTTTCGGCAAGTTTTCTAGCGCGCTCGTAAGATGAAAGTCGTGCAACCTTACAGTATATGTGGTCGCACGCTGCCCATACACCTTACGATTATCGTACGATCGCAGGATCACCCGCGATAATCGGACGATAATCGGCAGGTGTATGGGCAGCTTGAGAGTGATTGTCACTGGAATCGGTTACCTACACAGTTAACCCTTTAGATATGCACATGGTAGCTGCCACTAGGCTTGTTTTAACGGAAACATGCACCATTGACAGCATCTGATGTTGCAGTTCAGACTTATTAAAAAAAACATCTGTATCACATGCTGCCATTCGCAGACAGGAATGTAACAAAGTTCAGTACAGAGACAAAAGTTATTTTACTCTCCAGTTAAAGCATTCAGAGATTCAGCTTAATGATTTTACATATTTTAATGAAAGAACAAAAAAAGCTTAAGAAAAAATGTTTTCAGGAAAAATATTACAAAACAGACAATAAGCAACAGTAAAATAAAGATGATTAAAAGTGAAAACACTTAAGCAAGTTTGCCTGGTCTTTGGTTCAGTGCAGTGTTCACTTCACTTGCAAAGTATGTCCAGTCTGATGTATCAGAGTCATTGGCTCCCATAAATGACTCTTAGCATTCCCTCAGAGTTTGGATGGTGAACCTGAGTTCAGTGCTTCAAGTGCAGCCATCATTTCTGGTCCCTGGAGAGGGTGTTTACATAATTAACACAATCAAACAAATGGTCTGAGGGGTGTTATCGTGTTTTGTTATGCTCCAGCTAACACACTCTTAATGCCATTTTCCTAATTGCATCTATAGTATATTTACATCTGAACAGGTTTCACAATTGGACAACCAACATATTATTTGCCACAATTAAATTACAATTCTATTGAAAGCAAATATGATACAGATATTATATTTGCCACTCTTAGGAGGCTGAATGTGTCAATCAGACTTCTAGACCTTGTAGTTAGGGCTTGTGTAGTTGTCTACCTGATTGGTATCTTCTCATACATTGTGACCAATTTTTATTAACTTAACTTAATCACAGCAGAAATGATGACATATGGATAGAATTTGGCTCTGGATCTTGATAGTTTAGCTCTAATTCAATATAGGTCACAACCCCCAGTCTTCCAGATGTGTATTCCTCACTAGACTATTTACAACAGGGCCATTAGGTGTCTTTTGAGCAATGAAGATTTTATGACTTAGCTGTGTTTTTTGTCAACGATGTCACCTTACTTGGCTGCCTAGCATAAACATCAGATTTAAAACCGTTTTTGTCACCGACTTAAGACACTAACTCCATATAAATTGCATTGGTTTCGGAGGGGGTGACCAATGAGGTTATAGAGGTGTGATGGTCAGGTGTTCTCCCATTTTTGTCCAGTGCATGGGTTTGCTGTCAAATGCTGTCTTTTTCACTGTAGCACTCAAATTATCATGTCAAAAGGCCTGCTTTTTCCGTAAAAAAAAAAAAAAAAAGCCCATCTGAGTAGCACATTCTTTATTCAGTGAAATGCAACACAAAACAGGTCAAATGTTGCCACAGAATGGTAATACTTACTGCAACACTGAGGTAAAAGCAAATCTGCTGACCTGCCCAAAGACTGGCAAAAGAATGGATTCATGTATACACTTGTTGACACTATGAGCTTGGTGAAATGGGTAGAATTTAACCGACTCTAAATGTATATATTTTTTTTTAGGGTCTGGTTCACAAAAGTACAATCCATATACCCATTGCACTCCTGACCGCTTATCCACAATAAGTATGGTTGGGTGCATCGGCAGTCGACGGATGGCTACCGTCCAGTAATACAAAAAAAGTATGGACACCGGCACTCCAAAGGTAGAAGTACGTCTATTTATTGACGCACGTGCACGACATGCTCATTGCGACGTTTCGGGGTCACGCAGGATCCCCTTCATCAGGCTAAACAAGCTTGTTCTGCCTGATGAAGGGGATCCTGCGAGACCCCGAAAACGT